GAAGGCGGAATGGAGTTTTTGGGATCACTAGATCCGAGTAGCTGTACCAATCGTCGTTGGTTTCCTGTGCCATGATTAGGGTACGAGGATGTAAGAGAGTAAGAACGGAGGCAGTCGATTCTGAACACACCAGATTTATATATTTTTATTGGTGCAACAGTCATTTTTCCATTCTGAGTAAGTAATCGCCAAGACGGTCTAGAGCAAGGTTGACATGGTGGTTGACACCTCCCGCACAATTAGGAACCAATAGTTGGGCATTATTATCATGAAGCCAAATAGACGAGGTGGCGTTAGATAGACAGGATGTCAAAGCCAGCTGGCCCGGAAGGGCTAGGAGGTGGCAGATTCCAAGGACCACAACTAGGGTGCGGTTCAAAAGTCGGAGTTACTAACTAGTTAGTAACTGGGCCCTCCGAGGTCGTCAGTTAATAACTCAAAAACCTAATTGTTGCTCACACTCAGTCTAATGTGAGCATGTATATTTTGTAGTATTTTATCCAATTATAATTGGAGCTGTAGGCATGATGCTCGTTCGGGCGAGTGGACCCCGTAAAGGCTGCTCGATCACGCAATACCTGGTTTCGACCCTTCTTCTTGCATTACATAAGCACTGTTAGTAACTAGTTAGTAACTAGTTAGTAACTGCGCCTTTTCTATGGTGAGTTACTAACTGTTAGTTAGTAATGGCCGACAATTTCTAACCGCACCTTAACCACAACATAACAGTGCAGTCGGGAACCTCAAAGTTTGAGGTTGACAAAATGGTTCAAAGCAATTACATGAAATAAATTAATTCACAATACTGATTCGGTTATAACAGTAATTTCTAACAAGAAACCTGGGCCAATCGAACCAAAGTGGTCCAACCTCCTAATAATCACAATCGTCTACTGGCCAAGACTATGGCCAATCCTGAACATCACGCACAGTATGGGTAAGGCCCCAGGTTGTCACACCATGATAAATACCTTGGGTCTCGGTCGTGAACCCCGTCGATTTTACCTTGACGTGCATCGTAAACGGAACATCCATTGTACCAGTGCTGACTTTTGCTGTGGCCTTTACAGACTTTTTTGGAGGGGCAGTGACATTGAACGTCGCGCTGTGCATTATGGAGGTCTTGATTTCAGTGCCCCAGGTCCATTCATGACTGGTAGAGGCCTCCACACTGATCTCGCCCTCGGCGACAAAGGGCAAGGCAATTTTACCGCTAGTCCCCACAGTGACACTAAACCCAGCCGTATACTCAAAGCTAGATGTATGTTCTTGTGTATTACTGACGGCGAATGACATGCTCTGCTCGGCCGAGCTGGGGTTGTCGAGCCTTTGTTCGGCGACGACTAGGGGTTTGCTAGTGTCCATAAGCTTCGCCTTATCCAGGTGATAATCGATTCGAACAATTTCCATACCATCGAAAGAGAAAGCGAAGAACTGATTTTCGGCTTCATCGGAAGAGGGGTAATGTCCCAAGTGTTTGGTAGACGAGTAAACGAGAGTGTTGCACTCCACGTTACGAAGACGAAAATGTCCAGTATGCCCATCCTTGCCAGGTAGAATTTTGAACCATTCCTC